AAGCTGGAGGAGGTGGCTGGGGAGAGGGAGGTCTGGGCCTCTTTGCTTAGGCTGCTGCCCCCGCGACCCGGCCCTGGACAAAGCGGATGAAGATGGATGGATGGATGGATCAGAAACACGTCTTGAATTTGACTTCTCAGTTCTCAAACACAGAAATGAGACTAAAACCTCTAAAATTGTAGTTGGAATTCTGTAGCAACACACATCCGCCTCCTACGCTAGAAAACATAAAAAATTTAAAGTGGACAATGGAAGTTCGAAGTTAATGAGGGACAAACGCAGAGAGCTGTGTGCTTGTTTCCACCTCTGAACGATTCTTACACATCTGCTGTTTGTTTACGGAGCCAAAAAGAAACCGAACAATCGAAGAGGTGCTTTAATTCAGAATTATTTATGGAGCTAAAGAGACGCTGAATCACGAGTGATGGGAAGCAGAGTGGGAGAGAAACGGGCTGACCGGTGTGGACGTTATACTGGACCATCATAGTGAAGAGAGAGGCGTGCCTCCTGGGTTTTCTGGTCACACCCACTCGGGAGGAGATCCCAGCAGAGACGCAGGGGCTCCCTGTTGAAGTACAGATGACATATAAGCTAAAATTTGGGGTGTTGCTGAAATATTGAAGCTGTTCACTGAGACGAACACCGAAACCTCAAAGTTTTAATCTTAGCCTTGACCAAGGTCAAAGTCCCGCACTTTGTGACCTGCTACAAAAATGTTTTAGATTAAGAAAATTCATATTTCTGGTTTAAGGATTCAGAATAATTTCCCACGAGCTCAAAGCCTTCGCAGGCTAAAGATGAGGTTAAAATGTGAATGAAGACATGAGACTGCCGTCACAGAGAGGGGAAATCCCTAATATGGTCAGAAGCTTTAAGGGTACAAGAGAAAACATTTTAAAAAATCATAAAAACATAAAAATATGCAGCTGGAAATGAGCAGATTCAAACATTCAACACCAGGATAGGGTGGAAATTACAAATGAGTTTAATTGCCCATCACATCACTTTGCCAGTGATTATTAGCGTAGTTGATAAAATACCACAAACTTAACTTAAACTTAAAGAATTCTTGGTGGTTTACAGACAAAAGCTTTAATTTTTCATGTAAAATGTGAAGTTCGGGGACAGGACTTCAGTTTGTCGTCTTTTCAGCGTTCAAGAAAGAAATATTTAAAAACAAAAGTCTGCAGTGAAACGAACAAAACACCACCTGAGTGTACAATGAGCACGGTTTATATAAAAGCCATGCAGTAATCTGACTCACACGGTCACAGCGAGCGGCTCTTGCTGTGAATTTGACATTTTAAGAAAAATACAGAAACTCTGTGGGCGTGGTCAGTCCTCTTCCTCGTCGGTGTCCAGCGGTCCTCGGTTTGCAGGGAGCGATGCTGTGATTCGCTGCCAGCGGTTTGGTGGCCAGATGATGTGAGAGGCCCGACCGTGAAGCAGCCCCACAGACACCTGGGAAAAAAACAGCATCACAACTTTTAACAAACAATCAAATTAAACAAATTTTATTTGATCGTTTTACCACCTTTGAATTCCCTGCTATTGTTTTCAGCAGCCCTCCAGTTTTATCTGTCACACTTAAAGACCACCTAAAGACAGAAGTTTTAACAAACACACACTCAAAATATAACATGATCACTTTAACCTGCACATAGATAATCCTTCTGACCCTGCAGCAAAAGAATTCTTAAACTTTTAAATGTCTTAATGGTCTTGGGCCTTCTTATCTCTCAGATCTGCTTTTACCATACGAACCCTCGCGGACCCTGAGGTCCTCTGGTACTGGCCTTTTGATTGTCCCTAAAGTCAGGACACATCTCACGGAGAGGCAGCTTTTCAAGTGGTATGGTCCTCGTCTGTGGAACAGCCTGCCGGAGGACTCAGGGCCGCAGAGAACGTACATGTTTTGTAAGAACAGGCTCAAGACCACCTTTTTAATTTAGCTTTTATTTAACGTTTATTTATTTTACGCTTATTTATTCTATCCTGTTATTCTATTATTAATTTAGGCTTTACCTAATATTTATTGATTTTATTCTTATTCATTTTTTAATCTTCTTACTCTATTTATATTTATATTTATATTTATATTTATTATTTATATTGTATCCTGTTCTTATTTATTTTATCATTTTACCCTGTATATATCCTATTGTGTCATATCTCCAGTGTTTCCTCGGAGGGCGCTCTCTGCACCGGGGCTGTTATTGACCGTGGCTGCTGGGTCTCTGGGGTCCTCTCAGCCTGGTTGGGGGGCTCCTTTGCCTCCCTCCGGCTGTGTGCCCAGCCTGGAGGCTGCGGTCTGTGACCGGCTCCCGGTGCAGACGGCTCCCTGTTATAGTGTTTCCTCACTTGGCTCATGTGAACCCAGCCCAATTTTTACTCTTTAAGTGTGCGCGTGTGTGTGTGTGTGTGGTGGGGGTGGGGGGATATATGTGTAT